AATTAAATAGGGTGCTATGATAGCAAAGAATTAGAAGAAATACACGAACTTTCACTACACAGCCAAGAAGACAAATTAATTCATGAGATATATTCATACACTCAGATGGCCAATATTTAAAGATAATCAAGTGTTGGCCAAGGATATAGAAAACAAACAAGGTCACTTATATTTCTGGTAGGCATTTAAACCTAGACAACTACCCTGGAGAAAAATTGGGATTTTTGTGATAAAGTTAAGAAGTGGCTTATCCTACAGCAATTTTACTTTCAGGTTATAGTCAAAGAAATTCTCAAACCATGTCAAACACACACAAGACATGCATAAAGAAATAATTGTTGTGGGAGTTAGGGGTCAATCCTTCCAACAGTTGAAATCGTGACTTAATTCCCCAAAACTTAACTAATAGCTACTGTTACCAGAAGCCTTACTGATAAACAAACAGCTGATGGACACATATTTTAATATGTATTTTACTATAGTCTGTACAATAAAGTAACCTTAAGGAAATGTATTAAGAAAATCACAAGAAGAGAAAATATTTTATACTATTAGTGGAAGTAGGTTTATCTGCATTATCTTTCACATTGAGTTAGGCTGAGAGGAGGGGGCTGGTCTTACTGTCTCCAGGCTAGCAGAAGGCAGAGGAGGTGGAAAAGAGCAGGACAGGCAGGCATATTTGGTGCTAACTTCCATTGGAATACATCATGTACTTGTCATTTTACTTATTTTTCTAAAAATGTTCTCAGGTATTATATCAACCCTCTTCCACCCAACTGCTTTTATTTCCCTGCCAATATCACAGAAGAGTCCCCATGTCGTAAAATCACAAAGCAGTCTTGAATAATCAGAACCAGATTATCTATGTCAGTTTGTTTTCCCGCAACCGCTGCTTCCTGTCTTCTTCCTCAATCATCTGGCACTTGGAGTGGAAAGTACTCACTCTCACCAAGTCATCTTCTATTACTTCTCTGGTGGTGGCTGTAATATTTAGCTCTTGAATTACCCCAGATCATATCTTAAACCCTTTGTCAGCAAACCCCACCCCACCTGTTTTGCCCATATGAACAATTTCTTCCAAAAGCCCTTGATCGGCTCTGTCATAAATCTAGTGAAGTCACACAAAACATCTTGGATATCAGTTTCTCCAGCCAGGAATTTATTGGTTTCAGGCTTGATGACTTTGACAGCTTTTTGTGGTAACATGTGGCACCTTGAGCCGATGTAAATCTTCCAGACTTCATGATGTTCCTACGGGGTTCTCTTCCACAGCGTTGGCAATTATTCCATTGAGAGTATCTGATGTGAATGAAACTTAAGGCGTCCATATGACCCCCAGATCCTAGAGGGTGAACTATATCTAGAGGTTGAACCATTGTGTCGGGGACAAGCAGACCACTTTGATGCCTCAGGTGTAACTCATGGGTCGTGGGTGGCCCAGAACCAATACTGAAAGATCTTTTAAAGGCAGTCCCCTTTCCTGGCAAGGTACATCCTGACTCCAGGGACAAAGCCATCAATGGAACCAATCCCAGAAAAAGGATTCTCATTGGTTTGTTGTTGTTGTTGGTTTTGAGACAGAGTTCGCTTTCTTGCCAGGCTAGAGTGAGTGCCATGGCGTCAGCCTAGCTCACAGCAACCTCAAACTGCCTGGGCTCAAGGATCCTCCTGCCTCAGCCTCCCGAGTAGCTGGACTACAAGGCACAAGCCACCATGCCGCTGATTTTATATATATATATATGTTGTTGGCCAATAATTTCTTTCTATTTTTATGGTAGAGACGGGGTCTTCGCTCAGGCTGGTTTTGAACTCCTGACCTTGAGCAATCCACCTGCCTCGGCCTCTCAGAGTGCTAGGATTACAGGCGTGAGCCACCTCGCCCGGCGGATTCTCATTGTTAAGGTCTTCTTTTCGTACAACCAAAAGACTGGCAGCTGGTGTTTATCTTTTCCCTGTAAGGCTTGGGGTTGGCAGCTGTATAGATAAGGGCAATCTTCATCATAAATCTGACAAAACAGTAGAGTCAGCCTAACCCTTCCTGCCTTAAATCCTGGTGCTTGCTTCTCTTCCTTACCAATACATATCCTTTGTGGCATTTTCTTCCCAGAACAGGGCCCATTTGTTTGCATCAAAACCTGTTCAGGCAGATATCCTTTCTCCTCAATGATTTTCTTAATAGTGTCTGGGAACTCATCTGCTGCTTCTTAGGTGGCAGTAGCTGCTTCTCCTGTTATCTTCGCATTTTTTAAAAGCCAAATCTCTTCCCCAAATTACCAAACCATCCTTTGCTGGCATTAAATTCTCCAGTTATAGATCCTTAACCTTCCTTTTGCTTTAAGTTGTCATATAATGACTTTGCTTTTTCTTGAATCACATTAGAACCTATAGGTATGCCTTTCTTTCAGCAAGCCTGCACCCACATAAAAGCTGTATCTTGAATACGAAATAAAAACTTATTTTGGGCTGGGTGCAGTGTCTCATGCCTGTAGTCCTAGCACTCTGGCAGGCTTAGGCAGGAAGACTGCTTGAGCTCAGGAGTTTTAGGCCAGCGTGAGCATGAGCGAGACCCTGTCTTTCCTAAAAATAGAAAACTTAGCCAGTCATCATGGTGTGCATCTGTAGTCTCAGCTACTCTGGAGGCTAAGGCAGGAGGATCCCTTGAGCGTAGGAGTTTGAGGTTGCTGTGTGCTAAGATGATGCCACTGCACCACTCTACCCAGGGCAACAGAGTAAGACTGTCTCAAAAAAAAATGTATTTTGAAAAAAGTACAAGGTTTTTGTACCTGTTGGCATAGCTATAGTGACAGCTTCATAAATTTGCTTGACTTTTTTTTTTTTGACACAGTCTTAGTATATTGCCCGGGCTATGAGTGCCGTGGCGTCAGCCAACTCACAGCAATCTCAAACTCCTGGGCTCAAGCAATTCTACTGTTTCAGCCTCTGGAATAGCTGGGACTACACACACGCTTTAGCATGCCTGGCTAATTTTTTTCTATATATTTTTAGTTGTACGGCTAATTTCTTTCTATTTTTAGTAGAGACGGGGATTTCACTCTTTCTCAGGCTGGTCTCGAACTCCTGACCCGGAGTGATCTTCCTACCTCGGCCTCCCAGAGTGCCGGGATTACAGGCATGAGCCACCAACCACCACCAGCTGCCTTTTTTTTTTTTTTTAAGATGGTCTTTACACTGGATTCATTTATCTTGAGATGGTGGGCAACCAGAGCTACAGACCTCAATTTTACAGTACTTATCAAGCAACTCAACTTTTTCTTATCATGCCAGGACTCTTTTCTGCTTCTTGGGAGCACTTCCAGCATCACTAGTGACACTTTGGTGTTTGGGTTTTTTCCCCCTGGAGAGAGGGTCTCGTTCTGTCACCCAATCTGGAGTGCAGTGGCACAGTCACAAGTCACTGTAACTTCGAACTCCCGGGGTCAAATGATCCTCCGGAGTTTGTATGGATCCCATGGTATTAGTCAAGGTTTATGGTATTGCACTAAACCCGATGAAAGATATGCAAGAACCTCAAGACATCACTTTTACTGTTTTACACAATTTACTGGAGAGACAAACTGCTCACACAGACATGATTACTGTCACTTGGCATTTTAAACATATACTCACAAATATTTGAGTTCATCACAATAGCTACAGTAGGTGGATACAAAATTATTACAATAGTACGGTATGTGCTACAGTTAATTTTATGCAATCATGATCTAATGCTGCAAGTTTATGTTTGTTTCCATTTCTCTGAACTGTAAATGGTGTCATGTGTTTATGTACATCAGTTTTCACTTTTTATAATGTATTTGTGTATATTTAATGGTAGTAAGTGATAGAATACATTAGTGTCTACATGTATTTTATGTATTATTCATGACATAGCTTTTACATTTTTTTTTCTGATATTCCTAGGCTATGTGGTTTGTGTGTGAGTTTTTCAAATTGTTACAAATCTTCAAAAACCTGTCCAATATATTTACTGAAAAAAAGCCACATATAAATGGATCCATGCAGTTCAAGCCTTGGTGTTCAAGGGTCAACTATACATTGCAGTCTTCTTTATAAATAAAAAAAATTAGAAACATTATAAATATTCTTCAATGGGGAACTTGATCAATGAATTATGATTTATCAACATAATGAAATACAGATAAAAATGGATGAGCTAGAACTATAAGCATTAGTACACAGAGAAAAATCTTGAAAAAACACTATAGATTGTATATATTTACATCTATATTTAAAGTACAAAAACTTGGGGGGAAAGGAATATACACTACCTTTAGGACTTTGTTTCCTTCTGGGAGGGGATAGATTATGAAAGAGAACTTAAGGAGTCTTCAGTATCTCTCATGTTTTGATTCTTGAAAGAACGAAAGAATGAAGAGGGGGGAAGGGGAGAAGACAGTGTCTACCATACGAGTGACACTATAGATGAACCCAAGTGGAAAACTGTCCAACAACTTGTCACCTTGACAATCTGGTTGCTGTGGCTGGCCTTCTGTCATACCCAAACCTTCAGCACACTCCTGCTTGAATAGTCCAGCTTGGCCTCAACTGTGCTACTGAGAACTGAAAGAATCCACCAGTTTGCACTTTGGCCCTAAGAGTAGCAAGACCTCCCCAAGGCCAGGCAAGTAATTGATAGTGACGGGTAGGGAGATAGTGAGCTGCTAGGGAAGGTCAGGAGGATGATGAAATGAAAGGTACTGCTTTGTCATCAATCCATAATCTGGATGAAATTCAGAGTTAACATTGGCTCCTTACAAAATCACAACTCTTTAGGGAGATAACAGACTCTGCCATCCCGTAACATGCCCTCAAATCACGTAATAACCAAAGTATCAAAGGACTAAGAGTCCTAGGTCCTATTTGTTGCTCTATATGGAGCAGCCCTTGGTTGTCAATGTCTCATAAAGTTCTCCATTTTCAAAGCATATGAATTTAAATGTTCTTAGCAGAATAAAGAAAAAAAGAAAGGAGGCACTCACTTTCATGGGGATTTGCATGCACACCTTTGGTGACCTTGTCGATGAACATCTTGAAACAGGCTCCATCTGGAGATGAGTGTACAGAGAGAAACCCTGGCTACAGAGATGATTCAATGGTCAGGCCACTGCAGGGAGTCACGTGTGCTGCCACCTTTCCGCTTTAGCCAACTATCATCTGTTTTATAGGCTCTTTCTCCAGTGACCTCACGCCCCACCCCAGCATTCTAGAGAGTGACCACACAATGAGAGGTGTGCTCAAAGGGAGCATCGGACAGGCTCCGGTCATAGCTCTTTCCCAGCCCTCTCTGATTACTGACCATCTTCAAGTCTCTGTATTCCCTGAAGATGATCCCCTCCCCCCTTCATTCTCCAGGCTTATAAAACAACCTGAAATCATAAAGATCCTGGACCTACTTCTCTACCTGGAGTGCTTTTCCCACCTGACAAAAGATGTAGTCTTAATCAGAAAGCCTTTTTAAGAATTTAAGAGTTTAGTATATTAACATTATTTGATAATTAACTTTCACCTTTTTCTTGCGTCTTCTCCTTTCAGCTAAATGTGCTGTCACCAGGATGACACTATCACCTAACTTGTCCTATACCTCTAAATTTACTAAATGATGATCACATCATGCCTGTTACTACTTCTTCCCTTCCCTAGTCAGTCTGAAATAGTTTAGGTACATGCATATGACAGCATACTCTAGGAAATGTCAACATTTTTATTAGTATGAAATTTCCTGTTTCCAATGAGAAGGCTACTGTATGAGCCTTGAGTATAGTTTTGTTATTCTATAGGAATTTTTGATATAACATCCCTACTTCCTTACCCCTGTGTAGAGGTATAAAGTTCATTTGCATTATACAAACTTCATCAATCCCATAGTAAAAGAATCTGCCTCTACCCATCACTCAGCCTCCTGCCTACCAGTGGATCACATTTTCTTTTTCACACTTCCATAATGTATTTTCCCTGACTTTAGCATCAACTCTCTCCCCTCTTACCTCTCACAGATTTCTGCCTACTTCAATCAACACTTTAAGACATCTTTCACTTTTCAAGCACTCTTAACTCTCAGCCTTCTCACAATCATGCCCTTCATCTGAAAGCTTCTTTTGCAATGTGTCAACCTAAAATCTGTCTTTTCTTCCTTTAAAGCCAACTCCAATATTTTCTTCACATAGCCTTAGTTAACAATGAAAGAGAGCAAATGACTCTTTAACCTCCACACAACAGCTCAGAATACTAAAGAACAAGGACTCTCTAGGGAAAGTCTTCCCCTGGACTTTCCCCCTAGAGCTACAGGTAAAACTCTTCTCTTAGCATTGAGGCCACTAAACTGAAAGGGTGTGGGTTTCGGGCATTTGGCAGCCATCATACATGTGATGTGACACAGCTTGCCAGAGACATAAACCCTCTAGTGACAGGAGAAAGGGAACTGAGACAAGGGGTAGTAAAAAAAAAAAGGACTTCAGGCAGGGCGCGGTGGCTCACGCCTGTAATCCCAGCACTCTGGGAGGCTGAGGCGGGCGGATTGCTCGACGTCAGGAGTTCAAAACCAGCCTTAGCAAGAGCGAGACCCCGTCTCTACTATAAATAGAAAGAAATTAATTGGCCAACTAATATATATATAGGAAAAAATTAGCCAGGCATGGTGGCGCATGCCTGTAGTCCCAGCTACATGGGAGGCTGAGGCAGCAGGATTGCTTGAGCCCAGGAGTTTGAGGTTGCTGTGAGCTAGGCTGCCGCCATGGCACTCACTCTAGCCTGGGCAACAAAGTGAGACTCTGTCTCAAAAAAAAAAATAAAATAAAATAAAATAAAACTGTTTAAACCCCTTTGAAGACGTAGTCACATACATATATGTGAATTGTCATACTAAAATCAGTCCCTCACAGTTGGGTTCTATAAATCAGTCCTCTAAAGAGCAACTGCAATTAAATAGCTAGCATAAAATTATTTAGTCTTTAGCCATGTCTGGATTATCACAGAAGCAAGAACTCCACCCATTATCAACCTCTTCTATGGGAATGATATATCCTGGCAAACAGCAGCTTTTCACTGTCCAATATATACTTATTGCATACTCCTATGGTGGAAATAGAAGGCAATTTGACAAGATATGCCAAGAGCCTTAAATATGCTCATTCCAAGAATCCAGCTAAGAAAATACTCCAAAGTGTGAATAAAATTTATGCACAAAAATATTCACAGAAGTGAAAAAAGAAAAATTATATATATATATATATATATATTTTTTTTTTTTTAAGAGACAGGGTCTTGTTCTGTCACCCAGGCTGGAGTGCAGTGGCAAGATCATTGCTCACTGCAGCCTCAAACTACTGGACTCAAGTGAGCCTCCCGCCTCAGTCTCCTGAGTAGCTGAGATTACAGGCATGAGCCACCATGGGCAGTATATTTTTTTTTTCTTTTTTTTTTTAAGGAACCAAGTTTTCTGCTAAGCAGTATATTTTTATAAGTTTTAAAATGACATGGAAATGAGAATGTTTTCTAATATTAAGTCAGAAAAGGGGATACCAAATTGCATACCTAATATGACAGCCATATAAGTAAAAATTGCCTTTGTATAAGAATTAAAAATATATAGGGTCAGGTGCAGTGGCTCTGACCTATAATACTAGCACTCTGGGAGGCCAAGGGGGGAGGACTGCTTGAGTTCAGGAGTTGGGGACCATCCTCAGCAAGAGGCAAACTCTGTCTCTACTAAATATAGAAAAATAACCCAGGAATGGTGGTGCACACCTGTAGTCCCAGCTACTCAGGAGGCTGAGGGAGAAGGATGATTTGAGTCTAGAAATCTGAGGTTGCAGTAAGCTGTGATGATGCCATTGTACACTACCTGGGGTATCAGAGTGAGAGTGTCTCAAAAATAAATAAATAAATAAATATATGTGTGTGTGTGATATGTAACATATGTACACATACACATCAACACCAAACATATTAACATAATTGACCTTGGGGTTATAAAATTATGAATTTCTCCTAGCTGCTTCACAATTCTCTATGCTTTCTAAACATTGAACTATACGCATGCACTTTTTTTTTTTTTTTTTGAGACAGGGTAACCTCCAACTCCTAGGCTTAAGCAATCCTCTCCGTTCAGCCTCCTGAGTAGCTAGGACTCTAGGTACACACCACCATGCCCAACTAATTTTGTTATTTTTTGGAGAGCCAGAGTTGTACTAGTAACCCAGGCTGGTCTTGAACTCCTGGCCTCAATCAACCCTCCCACATCAGCCTCCAAAAGTGCTGAGATTACATATATAAGCCACTCTACCCAGTTCAGCACGTGCACTCTTGATAACGAGAATATAAAGGAAAAAATTGGAAAGAAATGTAATAAAATATAGTTATCTCTAGGTAGTGGGATTATAGATGATCTTTATTTATATGCTTTTCTGAACTTTCTAAATTTGTTTCTGATTATACACAAAATAAGTGTCATCATTTTTTTTTTTTTGAGACAGAGTCTCGCTTGTTGCCCAGGCTACAGTGAGTGCCGTGGCGTCAGCCTAGCTCACAGCAACCTCAAACTCCTGGGCTCAAGCGATCCTAATGCCTCAGCCTCCCGAGTAGCTGGGACTACAGGCATGAGCCACCATGCCTGGCTAATTTTTTCTATATATGGCCAATTGGCCATATTAATATCTTTCTATTTATAGTAGAGACAGGGTCTCGCTCTTGCTCAGGCTGGTTTCGAACTCCTGACCTCGAGCAATCTGCCCTCCTCTCCTATTACCTGTTGCTAGACTCCTGATCCAGGTTCCCCTTATCTCCAGAACATCACATACACTTTTTTTTTTTCTGAGTCTTACTCTTTGCCCCAGGCTAGAGTGCCATGGCATCAGCCTAGCTACAGCAACCTGAAACTTTTGGCTCAAGTGATCCTCCTGTCTCAGTCTCCCAAGTAGGTAGGAGTACAGGCAAGTACAGGACGGACTCCCACAATGCTAGGCTTACAGGTGTGAGCCACTGCACCCAGCCCATCACATAAACCTTTTTTTTTTTTGGACAGAGTCTCGCTTTGTTGCCCAGGCTAGAGTGAGTGCCGTGGCATCAGCCTGGCTCACAGCAACCTCAATCTCCTGGACTCAAGCGATCCTATTGCCTCAGCCTCCCAAGTAGCTGGGACTACAGGCATGCACCACCATGCCCAGCTAATTTTTTGTATATATATTTTTAGTTAGTCAATTAATTTCTTTCTATTTTTGGCAGAGACGAGGTCTTGCTCAGGCTGGTTTCGAACTCCTGACCTCGAGCTATCCGCCTGCCTCGGCCTCCCACAGTGCTAGGATTGCAGGCGTGAGCCACTGCACCTGGCCTTGACTTTTCTAATTTTTCATTTATCAAAATAAAATTGTGAACATTTAAAGATAACGTAATGAAAACATATATGTATATGTTACCTATTCTGATTTACATTACAAGTAAAGCTGCCTGTAAAGTAAAACAAGCTTTCAGTGCTTTAAAGCTTTCCCCATCACACAAGAGCAAAACGGGTTCGTCGTCAATGCACAGCACAAACTATCATGCGGACTATGAGTACTGGCTGTGGGCAAGGTTTCACAGTCGGTGAGTGCAGTACCAAGTGGTAAGGACAACTCAACTCATCACAACATCTGAGCTCTGGACATGGACAGGTGGGAAAGAATAGGCAACAGATTCAGGATGAATGGGGTTTTTTAATCCATTCAATGGCAAGTTATGAAGCCTGATTTTTAATTTTCTCACCCGTAAAACAGAGATAATAAAAAACATTTTGTGGCAAGGCATGGTGGCTCACGCCTGTAATCCTAGCACTCTGGGAGGCCGAGGCGGGTGGATTGCTCGAGGTCAGGAGTTCAAAACCAGCCTGAGCGAGACCTCATCTCTACTAAAAATAGAAAGAAATTAATTGACCAACTAAAAATATATATACAAAAAATTAGTTGGGCATGGTGGTGCATGCCTGTAGTCCCAGCTACTCGGGAGGCTGAGGCAGTGGGATCGCTTGAGCCTAGGAGATTGAGGTTGCTGTGAGCTAGGCTGATGCCATGGCACTCACTCCAGCCGGGGCAACAAAGTGAGATGCTGTCTCAAAAAAAAAAAAAAACACATTTTGTGATATTGCTGCAAAAATTGGACGTAATATATGTTTAGCAGATACCCTACAATAGGCACCCATAAATGATGATGATATAACTGGTTTGCCTATAAGACAGATATTAGTTCTCCCTTTTGATGCTAATGTTATAGAGATTCCACTATACTTAACATAAAATGCATATTTGAATATAACTATTTACCTGTGGG